TGCAGGTCAGCAGCTTTCTGCCCAGCGCACATCCTAGAGAACAGGGTGAGGTTATAATTCACAGCTGGGCAGTCAGGGACGTGGCAGGCCCCACAGCCACAGCTCCCTTACYGGCCCGAGTGGGTTTCACACGCTTCCCGCTTACTTTGCAGCTTGCTCTGCGAGGTGTTTTGCCTAGCTGTGATCGATCACTGCAAGTCAGATGGCACTATTTCTTCTGCAGCTGGGTTTCTAGTGTGAATTTAAAATGTGCTTTCCATTGACTGTGACAGTGCAACACTAATGAATCCTGAACACGTGCTAATAAATCAGCAAGTGCTGGAAATGCAGCCCCCAGCTATTTAGTGTATAACCTCACTGGGGCAGCGGCACACGCTGTATGTTTCCACAGTGTTGCTGAGCTCGGCTGCCATCTCCGGGTGCTTTTGCATCCAAATAAACAGCCAAGGAGAAGCTGCACTGAGACTAGGAGCCTAAATCTGAACTCATGTGGACAGTAATTTGCTTGCCTGGCCTACGTCTGCCAGGGAAGCAAGAGCAGGTATCATATCCATGCCACCTAAATTCACTCTGGTAGTATCAGATGAGGAGTGGCTGCTCATTGATTAAATTGATTAAATTGATTAAATAATCAACCTGATTATTTAATGAACTTTCAATTTCTAGCATCAGACCACTGAGCTCATCTGTCTCCCTTTCCTTTGTGTGCAGCGTCTTGCCCTCCAAGGGCTGATGAAGGAACAAACTCAGAATGGGGGGATTTAATCACCGGACTCTGGGGTCCTACAGCCTGCCTCCACTGTGGGTGAGGCCTATAAAGCAGGAATCCCAGAAACAACAGCTTCCCCAAGGAAAACAGGGGGAAAAAGATAATCTCCTTACAGCATCCTCCATGCCCTCCCTCGCCCTGTTGGCTTTCTGCTAAAGGCTAAAGCAGTTTAGCACTGGAAAGGGCCTTTCCTCATGAAGGRCAGTGTGGGGGTGGGACGAATGCCTCCTGCAAGCTCATCACTGGCATCTGCTGTAGCCTCTGCCACCCACCCCTCCACCCCTTCGTAATACAGGTCACCCTCACGCCCCGGCCATGGCACCAAGCCAGGCTGTTACAGGAGTCTGATCCTGGAGCTGTGAGCTAAGGGTTAGTGCAAGGAGCAGAGGGAGGTGGCTGGACTCTGCTGCCRACTGCGCCTCGCACGAGTGACGTGCAGGGAGAGGCACCTGTCGCTACAGCCTCAGTGCCCCTGTCTGGAAAACAGGATGCTTCTACCCACCTCTCTAGAGCAGAGGAATTGCAGGCTAAGGTCTGAACCCGATATCACTCTGTGCTCATCCTTCCTGGCACTTAGTGGAAAGACAGGCAGGCAGCTTTTTTGGAAGCCACGGCCCACTGGCTATTAAATATATAGCATTAACAATGACAGCGATGCACACAACCATGGAGAGAGCCACTTGTAAAGCAGATGGAAAGCTTTGGATAGAAGGTGCCTTAGAACTGGGAAGTGTTACTAGAACAGTATCGGGATGCAGTAAACAGAGTCCCCTCACCACCTTCTCAGCATGATCCTTGTGACCCTGCTTAGGAAAGCTAACGTTTTACCTCGGTACTGTGAACACCGCTGGTGTCTGGAGAGGGAGAAGGGAAGCACAAGCCAGCGATAGCATCTGCTGTAGCTCTTATGCGCTGGCAAGTCCTGCAGAGTCATTGCAATTAATGCATCCCCCCCGCCTACTCGGCGGCAGAGCTCCCTGTTTAAGCTAATGAGGGGAATCCTCATTACAGAGTCCTCTGGGGGGGCCTGACAGCAGGTCAAATGCCCAAGTGGCACTTTAGCTTAGTGTATTTCTGGCCACTGGAGCCCCCAGCCAGAAATGGATGGTTTCCTTCTGTTGCTCTGAGCTGAAACAACAGCAACAAAAATGCCTTTTGCTGTCCTATATCAAAGGGCAAGAAGAAAAGGCCATCAACAGCCCCACAGGCTACTCTGTTCATATCTCCATAATCTGGAAAAGATACTAAACTTGAAGCATCTGGAAGAAAGCTTTGGACATCATGCCCCACGGATCATGGGGCACATGCCTGACATGCTGTTCCAGGAAGAGGGAACCATGCAGCACACCCACCAGACAGATCAACGCCAGGCTTTGGGAGCCTGTGGGGACTTCAGAGCACCAGAGCTCTGGCAGTGGAGATCCGCTGGCTCTATGCGGCAGGAGGCATCTCAGGCTGAAGCAAAACACCTAATTAAGGCAGGGCTCAGGGAAGCCTTTCAGAAGGAAGTTGTCAAAAACCCTCTCCACTTCCTTGCTCTCTCCTGGCTGCAGGATGTTATTCACTAGTGGCACTGGTCTAACAAACTTACAGGCAAGATGCAAGAAACTGTTGTTACATATTATATGGGCCTGGGAGAAACTGGTCTTTCTGGATCCTTGGACTTCAAATTTCTTTATAAACATATTATTCYGAAAGGCTAATGCTCACTGGTCCTTTCACTTCCACAGCCAACAAACTCTACCAGCACCAAAGCTGACATTCTGCCRCGGAAACATACGTTATAGACACCAGAAAATCCCAAGTACATGAAACAGTCCACCTGGGTGCATGCATTTGTACATGGGAGCTAGGTTTGTGCCTGTATCTACATCCATACATGCTGCCTCCCGACTTAGGCAGATGTATATGAATGCACAAATGTGTCGCTGCTGTGTGTGGGGTGGGCAGCATTGTGTATTTGTGACCTGCTTTTAAAATAACCATGGGTTCATCRAGGTGTCTCCATCTTGGTGCGTGTTGCAGCGCAGGAGGCAGCATTAAAGCCCCAACAGGTGTTAATCACTATGCACCGTAATAAATTCCAGACATAGGGAAAGAGCTTAGTGATGCACATCTGCACCTCCCTCCGTGCCCTCYGTGCCCGCGCCTCGGCACTGCCTGCCAGGACGCGGCGCCCGCGAGGCACCAGCAAAGGGTGCGTGGCCCAACCTTTGCTCCCAGAGCACAAGGAATGAGGGGCAGCAGCACCCTGACTCCTGCCCCTCATCCCTGTCCCCGGCCATATCGGTGCTGCCATCAGCCCCCTGCTCCTGCTTGGGGATGGCACAGCAGAGTCGCATGGAAGAGACAGTAGGGGAAAACACCAGCCCATGGACTCCACAGGGGCTTGGGTGAGGAGAGGTCGGGGAGGGAAGAGGTGTCACAAAGCACCCAAGGGATTTTTTTTTTTCTTTTTTAGGCTTAGCCCCCTTGATTGGAGCTGAGCCAGCTGATACAGATGGGGTGTTACAAAACAGAGCCAAAAGGCAAGAGCGCAAGGAACAGAGCTATCTATAACCCCAAGTTAGACAGAGTGAAGGTGGGGAAGAGGGGAACGCAAAGCGCGGCAGGCAGCCCCTGATGCTGAAGGCAAGGACACGATCATTCCACAACAGGATTTAGAACTGATCAACTCCAGCTTCCCAGCAGCCAGATAAGGCTCTGTGGCTGTCAGCTTAACTCTGCCGTTGATTCCTGTGCTGTAGGGAGTTAAAYAGAGCACACGGAAAGCCGGCTGCCGGGAAGCGAGAGTCAAGGAGGGAGAGGGAAGGCACAGGCTGTCATTGGACAGTGCCTGGGAGTCGGGTGGAAGTGGCTGCGGGCAAAGGCCCTCCAGGTAAGCGCTCACGGCTTTGCAGCGTCCTTGTCCATAGGAGAGACGGTGGCAGGAGGCTTCGGGGGTGGCATTTAGGACAGAGCCGTGGACACGGAGGCGGCTGAAAGTCCTTCCCTGCCAGCGCGAGCGCCGAAGGGGGACAGTGTTTGCGGAGGCTTCTCCTTCGGCGGGGAGGGCAAGCGGGGCTCTGCCTGGGCAGCAGGGGCTGCACTAGGGGAAGGCTGGAGGCGTTGTGGTGCCGGCCAGGGTATTCACCTGCCTGCTGCATCGGCATTTGGATAAGTAATCTCAATAGCTTGGCAAAACAGGCAGGGAAGCCGCCTGTCTTTCTCCCCGAGACGCTGATTTCAATATGACCTGGTGATTTACACGCCGGTATAAAATAAATCAGTGCTGGGAGCCTGGGGGAGGGAGGGCAGCTGGCACGTGCCCGGGGATGCAGTGCCCACTGAAAGTGCAGGCTGGGGACRCTGCCAGAGCCCCACGGGGGTGACGCAGGACGGCTGGTTGTGTGCTCGGGTGGCAATGCCCATATAACTGCCACTGTAGCTGTGCACGGCAAACCAGAGAGCAAGCARGGGGGCAGGATGGTCTGTGGTGTTTCCCCTTTTCCTGCTTCCCTCTCTTCAAGCGGGAAGAGGGAGGGAAGGAGGGACCTGTTGTTAGTCACTTTTTGTCAGTGGAGAGTTTATGGTCTTTGGGTTTCTAATTAGACTGAGCATTTTGCCGTCTTCTAATTAAGATGTGACACCTCTCTCCGGGTCCCCCCTTGCCCTCTGAGGCTCCCTTGCTCTTGAGCTCCTGCAGATGCTGCAGTGTGACCCTCCCCAAGCTCAACTGTGCTCTGCTCAGCTGCTCTAGCACCACGTCTGATTCACCTGAAAGCAGCAGGACGGCACTGGAGGGGAGAGTGGGGGGAGCCACTTGGCAGCCGCTAGCGCCCAAACTGAGGTGAGCCCAGGCCACGTGGCCTGGAGCGGGGTGCACAGGTGGCACCAGCCTGTGCGAGTGACAAGGAACGAGCYGGAGGCTGTAGCCCGAGCAGGGGCACCTCGGCCATTCATTTAAGGTTAACCTTAAATGCGAGGCTTTGGAGCTACCGTGGCAGGCTACTCAAGCGCATTTTGGCAAAGATGTGAGTAAGGCCTTAATTCTTAGCCATGAGGATCAAAATGAATTAAGATCTTGCTGTAGCTCTTGAAATATCCTCCATCTCCCCTCCAAAACACRGCTCATGCCTCAGAAGCAAACCACTGTGGCGGGGGGGAAAGGGAATGAAAACCTTGAGGCCAGCCCTGCCTCCTGTGCCCCGGGGACTGAATCCCACCCCTCTGCTCTGCTCTTCTCCTCCAGGCTCCGAGAGGCAGGCTGCAAGGTTGCTCCTCCAGCCTGGGAGGCCGTGCACCAGGCTGGCTGGTGGATGTGAAGACACGCTGGAGAAGACAACGATGCTGCCCATGAGCGCTGGCCACCGGTGGAGGAGCAGCTTCCCCATGAGGTGGCGAGAGGCTTGCCGTAAGTAAYCCCTACTCAGGTGCTAAATACCATGCTCCTGTTTCTCAGGGGAGAGGAAAGAAAATAGGTCATGTCAGGGTTAAGAATAGGGGAGAGGGACAGCTAAGAATGGAGATGTTTGAACTAATTCCTGATGCCTTTAGAGGCCAGGCTAGCTGGGAGGGAGAGCGAGACTCCAGAGCTGAAGATGGGCTTAAAGTGGGACAGTCAGCAGTGATTGCTTCTGGAGGGTGAGAAATGGTGAGAAAGACACCGCTGCACAAAGACCCTCCCTAGACCCTTCCCTGATCAGCAGCCTGTACGCAGCACACTCCGCTCTCTGATCTCAGGGGTTTCTACCTAGGTTACTGAGCAGGACTCCCAGCTTTTCATGGCAGGAGAAGTCACGAGAGATTTTAGAGGTGAATGCGAGACAGGAACGCAGAATACTCCTACTAGGCACTGCCACGTGTAGCAAAAATCCCAGAGTCAATAAAGAAGACAGCCTTGAAATTAAAACATAAAAGTTGGTTTTCCCAGTGGACCAGGGCATCTGCTACAGGGGCTCTGACTGCAGAGCACAGGCGACCAGACTGCTRCAGGGCAGTGGGGAATGCACCTGCACCTTGGAAAAACATTTGAGAGTCACAGCAGAGGAAAGGGAGCGCTTGGAGAGCACCCCTCACTACTGCAAGCGCAGGCAGCCAAGCAGGCCCAGGAGTTCCCTTGCTGCTGCCCTTCTAGTGAAATGTGGGACTACCACTGGGAGAAGCTAGGAGAATTATTGCCTTCTTCAGAAAAAAAAAAAAAAGAGGCATCTTTGTAATCCACCCTCACAGACTAGACTGCTGTATAAATTATTTACAATGAATGCTGCTGTGTCTTGACTTAATCTGATATCCTGGATCAGTTTTCTGCCACCTACTAGAGTCACCAAACACCCTACAAAGTAACTTCATCTTCCCCTCACAGAACAACATACACTGCTCATCCTCTGGCAGGGCTGGCAGAGAGCATCAGGTTCTGCCTATTGCTTCCTTGTTTTTATTCCCTATATAGTTGCATCCTAACCAGTGAGGTGAATTTCTGGGTCTCAGATGACATCCTATATAGACACATCTCTCACGGGATGGAAAATGAAATGAAACCTTCTCCATTCTGTGATTTTAGTCAAAYGTTTCCAAGAGCACAAAGACAGGGGTATCTGACATCCTATACGACTGCACAAACACAGTTCCTGAACTGAACTGTAACCAGCTGCTAGTTACACTGTTCCTACCAGCCAGCATCACCATTTACACTGGTGAAATCCCACCGAGGCTTGGTCAGGGAGCAGGGGTGGGTAGGTATGGTGAGCGCTGAGCCCTGAGCAACGCAACCTGTATAGCATTACATGGTCTGTTCTCACCTTTCCTGGTGTACAAAGCAGCTAAGTGTTATCTCATCATCACAGCTGTCAATCTATTATTAATACTGTACTTTTGTCAAGCATCCAGGAAAAGACAGGGTYGCTTAAGTGACTCACGGCTCCTTCCCTTCCCAACTCTTGCTCTCATTCTTTTAATTCTCATGCTACAACAAGGGAGCAATGTATTCTGAATGGAATTTAATATCGCCCAGGCAGACAGTACCTTCCCTGTGCTAATTCACAGGCTGTGATCTGCTTTCATGGCAGTGTCTGCTGTTGACCCCAACCTTTGCACAACAGGAAGGCACAGAGGTACTCAGGATAAAGTTCTCTCTTACATTTCACTACAACAATACATAATTATTATTAGAAGAGCATATAGACTGGTATTGGCAGGGCCAAGGTAGGCCTGAGATCTTGACTGAATSTCAGAGAGAAATTCATGAAGGAAATGTGGAAGATGTATGAAAGTAAAAAAAAAAAATAAAATAAGCAAAAAAAAAGAGGCGCCCTCTGAACATTTATCCTTTAGTCCTTAAAGAAGTCATATGGCTCAGGGTCCAAATCGTGTAGTTGTCCTGATGCTGACAGTCCATTAATCAGCCAGTTCTCACAAGGTCATTGGGAACAAAAAGAGACCTCAGGCATGATGAAGGCAGCATCACTGATAGAAAGCAAGACAAAAAAAAAAAAARAAAAARAAAAAAAAGAGGGGGACCATAGGGCTGAGTAAAGTAGAGACAGAGTTGGGAGGGGAGAGAGGAAATGCAGACTCTGCCTGCAGAGCTGCTCCAGGCAGATCGTCTCCAAAACATGGGTCTCTGCTAGCTGCCTCTCCTATGACTTTCTTCACAGAATTCTCTTGGGGTWAAGAAATAAAATGTCTGTTTACTGGTTCTTACAAAAGAAAAAGCAGGAGGATGCAGGCAGGACAGAAGGATCTAGTTTCCAGTCCAGGAAAGAATAGTGAGACAATAAATGCATCCATTTTAGTTACCATTCAGCCCTGGAAAGACTCTATGACCCTAAGTGACTGCCTTCACCGAGCAGACGAGAAAAATAGAGGGGACAGGGCAAGGCGTAGAGACAAATCTGCTTCAGCTTCACTCAAATGCTCAGTCTTGTCACCTTGAAGAACAAGGGAGCTGAACTTGCTTCCCACATTGAAGAAATTCGTCTTCCTTCCTTTTGTGGCATTAAGATGAAGCATGCAAATGTTTTACACAGTCTGCCTAAACATAACTCCCACACCTTTAGARACAGGAGGCACAAGCCTGCGTTCCTGTTGCTGATGCTTCCTCGCCACAGAAAGGAGACTTTTAAAGGGCAATGGCTCCCAGTGAGGGTTGGCAATTAGTGCCCCGACACTACTCGTGAGATACGGACACATGTCTGGAATAGTGATGCAGAGCAGCTGCACACAGTACAAATGTTGCTTTGTGTGTTTTTCAGCCTTACTTGTGAAACTCTGTAGCAGAAAGGCACTAGCCTTTCTTCTTATACCCTTTTCTTCATCTAGCAGCCTGCATTTTTCCCTCATCTCTTCTCTGGAACAGAAGATTTGGGTCACAGGAGATGCTTGTGTGGCTATTGGTGTGGGATTCTGAAACCACTCTGACACCATTATCAAGTGAAGGCATTCAGTGGGCTGGGATCTCTTTGATGCTTTATAATAACAGCTCTCTCAGTCATCCCTCTGTAATGAAATTCAATTCATTAAAAAAGTAGCTTACCAAAAGGTCCACAACAACACATTGTAGATATGGAGAGCAAATGCTACTCTGATTTAGAGGCTAATTTGGACTTGGGTTTGATCCATCACAGGAATCATGATTCAAACTGCAGGAACGTAATTGATGAATAGGTTGTTTTCATTTGCTTGCTTCTTAAAAGCTTTTCATTAACAAATTTACTTCTCAAACAAAAAATCTCCTTAAACATATAGCAACATATAGCTCTTCCCTCTCAACCCCGGCTCCTTAGAAGAAGGTGTTCATCATAGGTGACATCTCCCACCACTCCCTGCTCCGTTCTCTTCTGTCACGAATTAATGCTCTGGCATCAGGCAGCAACCCCCTCTGGAATACACTGCCCTTCCTTCTTTGTGAAACCAGATGTTTACTTGCTTGCTCATAAAGAGAAAAGGCTAAGCAGCAGCCCGTGCAGGGCAGCAGCGAAAGGGCCGAGCTGCGAGGCAGATCACGCCACTGCAAGCCCTGCGGCGCAGAGCCCGCTGCGACGGCCAGACCGCCGCTGTGGCGGTGCGCGCGGCGCGGGCGGCTGCTGAGGGGAAAGCTCTAACTCGCTTTCTCTCCCCATCCCTCTGCTTTTCAACCACCAGTGCTTGGCTGCTGGCTGTCCCTGTGTGCTGCAGAGTCCTTCTTCGCCTGCCCTTCCTCCTGCAAGTGTAACAGTGGCAATCTGGAAGTGGACTGCAGTGGCTTGGGCCTCTCTTCCATCCCCTCAGACATCCCCACAAACACCAGGACCTTCCTTTTTCTCAACAACAAACTCAGCATCCTGCCAGGACCGGTCTTTTCCAACCTCTCTGCCCTACAAAGGCTGGACCTATCTAACAACTTCTTGGACCAGCTCCCTCAGAACATCTTCAGTGACCTGGGGAACCTCACAGAGCTCCAGCTGAGGAACAACAGCATCAGGGCCTTGGACAAGGACCTGCTGCAACACACGGCCCTGCTGCGCCAGCTGGACCTCTCCATCAACGGCCTGGCCCAGTTACCCTCGGGCATCTTTGATGACCTGCCTGCTCTCCGCTCCCTCTCGCTCAGGTCGAATCGCCTGCAGAGCCTGGACAGGGTGACCTTTGAGCCTTTGACCAGCCTGCAGCAACTCCAAGTTGGGGATAACCCCTGGGAATGTGACTGCAACCTCCGAGACTTCAAGCACTGGATGGAGTGGTTCTCCTACCGAGGTAGGGGCCTGGGCAGGGTGAACACAGCACGGTGTGGGAGACAGACTGCTGGGTTTTCAAGGAAAGGCAGGCAGGCAGGGAAGAAACACAGGCAGACAAATCCAGCAGATCAGGCTGACCTAAATTCTGCATCTTTGCCAAGAAACAGGAGGGCAGTGCTATAATGCTAAGAGACCATGTAGTGCTACAGTAGTGTGGTACAGTTAATGCTACTGCCAGTCCTGAGAAGGTCCAGGCAATCCCAGATTCCATATTCCCTAGTTTTGTTCCAAATCTCAAAGACTATTCCTTTTTTTTTTTTTTTTTAGGGGAAGCATCTTTCCTCAAATAACCCTTAAAATTTTGGAATCATGAGTTTGCTTCATCCCTCTGACAAAAGAAAAGCAGAAGCTTTTCTGGCTTCTAAATAAACATCCACTGCTCTTCCTTATGCCAGGAGAACTAAAAGCCAGATTTGTCTGTAAAGCATGAGGTTTTCCTTCAGCAAAACAAGCCTAGAAAACAGTGCCACTTAGGAAAATATTATAACTAACACTGTCAAACCCAAACATTCCAATTACCAAGTCAGGCGCTAAATCAGTTTGACTATAAAATCATTATTTCAAAATGAGCAGTTTTTGACAACTTCTTATTTCCATTTTTCCTTGAAAAATTGAAGGCTAGAAATGTGTAGATGACTTAGCAGGAATTCTGATGGAATAATATGATTACAGGAGCTGCGATTCTACGAAAAATGGCACATTTTACGAGAACAACGACTGAAGGCCTGACCTTCTGTTACTGAGGCCACTGAGTAGGAAAGGGTCTCAAATCAGGTGGATGCCAACAGCCAGCTGCCAATCCCACCCATACTGCAAAGAGAGCTCTGGGCTGCAATACCTTGAAATATCTCTTGGTGTGGGCAGACCCGAACAGGCATATGAATGACACTTTTCCCTTCCGGGCACTTTGCTTTCCTTTCTGACTCTCCCGTCAGAGTTGATAAAGAGCACACAGAGTTAATGTTGCCTTTTTTTTTTTTTTATTCCCCTTTCCAAAGAAATTGCCCAAACTCGCTGAAGCATTTGTTTCAACATCTGTCGCTGCTTTCACAGAGGGGAGGTGGATTAGTTGTTAAAAGATGGAACTGTGTGTCTGTTGTTATTTTGAGAAGATAGGTCCTGATCCTATCTTACTGTTTTAATTTCTCCTTTCCTGAAAAGCTTCTATTAACACTTATATAACTCCACGCACAGTGTGAGGTTGACTTAGTAGATGATTTCAGAGGGCTTTCCTGTCTTGGCCTGAGAGCCATCTACACACATATCAGGTACCAGGAGCGATACTGTCAAATCAAACCTAAGTAGAAGCATCCCAGCCAGGTGCCATGGCAAAAATCTCTTCATGGAGGACTAACCCATGCCAAGTGCCCCCCAGGCAGGCAAAGTAACCTTTCTAGAGGACACCGTGTGTGCTCCCTGTGCCCTGTCTGCCCAGGGAATGGAAGTGCAGCCATTTCTCCCTCCTAACACCTTTGAGATGCACAGTGGCCTTGGCAGGATATGAGGAGAAAGGGGTGGGGTGGGGACAGCAGGGCCTCCTGACTTCATCCTACCTTTGAACTGCAGCGTCACTCCCTGCTAGATCATGATTCCCTTTCGGGGGAGGAAGAAGCTCTCTGAAATCTCTCTCCACTCAACACAGCATTCACATGTGAGGAGCTAGATCTTACAGCACCAACACCATAACAAAGACATCCCATGCTTAAAACCATAATGCTGCTAAGACTGGCTTCTGTAGGCTGTGTTTCAGTGCTCCACCATCGCACTGTAACACAGGATGATGCAAGTGTAATTCACTCCTATTATCTCTGTTGGGACAGGTGGGAAGATCGACCAGCTGGCATGTACCCTGCCCAAGGAGCTGAAAGGGAAGGACATGCGAATGGTGCCCATGGAGATGTTCAACTACTGTTCGCAGCTGGATGATGAGAACAGCTCTACTGTCCTGGACAATACTGGCCCACCGTGCACTAAAGGAAGCACAACTCCTTCCAAATCTAAATCAGGCCCAGAACCAGAGGTGGAGCCCAGTGTGGGATGTCCTCAGAAACAGCGCTACAGGCCTGTGAGCGTGCGCCGGGCTATTGGCACTGTGATCATCGCAGGGGTGGTTTGTGGCATCGTGTGCATCATGATGGTGGTGGCAGCAGCTTACGGCTGCATCTATGCATCCCTCATGGCCAAGTACCATCGGGAGCTGAAGAAGAGGCAGCCACTCATGGGCGACACAGAAGGTGAACATGAAGAGCAAAAACAAATCTCTTCTGTGGCATGAAACTCTTCTAGGAAGGCAAGGACAGCAGTTAACAAAGGTATCTGAGAGCTGCCAAGCATGGGGTCCTCCCGACATACATCTTCTCAGACAGACAGACAGACTGTGCTATTGCTCCTGTCACCCAAGTAGTGCAACACGCTTCGGAGAGTGGGGGGGTCAGGACACCTGGCTCTAACTTCTGTTCCTCTGCCCCAGGCCCCTTCTGTGCCCTCCCATCCTTGGGCCCTTCCAGGCAAATAAAGTAGAGTCACACCTCGAGTGCTTGCCGTGCCTCATGGCCTTGTGCAGAGCTTCCCTCACGTGCCTGCTTGGCAGCCGCTGGCACCTTGTGGGAACCCGTGCCGTCCCCTCAGCTTCCAGACTGAGTCCTCCTGTGCCCTGCCCAGAGCTCCCTGCAGACAGAGCAGCTTCGTGAAAGCTCATGGACACCAGGCAAGTGTCCATACCTTACTGCTAGGGTCAYTGCTGTTGTGTGACAGCAGCTCGCTCCTTGCCCAACAAGTCAGCATGGCCAAGAGCGTGTTAGAAGGCACGGAAGGTCTCTAGGACATGACGACTGTCTGAGGGATATTTCCCTTCTCGCTTTTAGAGGTGGAAGGATACCTACATCACTCCAGCACTGCCTGGGAGCACAAGCTCTTTCTGTTCCCGGCCAAGGACAAGTCTACAAGCTGACATATGTCTCATCCTTTATAGGTACACAGAGACAGAGCCACGCTCCTGCACACACACTCTGAGTCACTCTGATCCCAACACACACACACAGACATYGCTCCGTTCCATACATTCAGGCGCCCCATCTGCGCATGCAGAGCCACATGTGCACAGACTCATCTGCCCTGTGCTTGCAGCCATGAATACATTTAGCCATTCCACCTTATTTTGATTCTAACACTGCATAGCACCTTCTGGTTTGGAGAAAATACATGAACCCTGCCACTGAAGAGCTAACAAAAACATCTCAATAGTGCACAGCTAGTGGGGGAAGGGACAGGAGACGATAGAGAAAGGCAAATTTATTAAGGTTATAGCATGAATCAGCAAAGATGAGTAGAGAGCATGAAAAATAAGGTGTGTTTTTGTCATCTATTTTATGTTTCCTATGATTAATGAAGAGAGAGAATGATATAAAGCCTCCATGTGCAAGTGTCTGAAGGGCAGAGAGAAGTGGCCATCAGGAAGGACATAAAGGAGGAGGCTAAGCAGCCTAGGTAGTAGCCTAGGTAGTGAGGGGTGGTGTGGTCTAGGGGAAAAGTGCTGGGGACGAGAAAGCAAAGAGCCCCAGAGCTGGCCCTGCTGGCAGTGGGCAAGCCTGGTGCATGGAGCGGGGCAATCCAGTGGGGGGGTGCAGGAAGGGGGGCCCAGCTCTAGCGGGTCTGGAGGTGAGGTCAAAGACCTGTCGCACACGCAGCGCAGGAGGGGCAGCCCCTGGATGGGCTGCTCGGGGCACCGCATGGCACACCGATGCTCACCGCCAGCAGCATGAGCGTGCCCGTGCACACAACGGCACCCGCACCCAYGTAGGGTGACTTTTCCCAGCCGGATCTTAAAGCCCTCAGCCTGCAGTGCCTCATATTAGCCTCGGTTCTTTACAACCTGACAGGAAAAAAAATACAGGTGAGAGGGGGAAAACAAGGCACCTAACAGAAGGAGTCCCTTTCTGTCACGGGGAGCGGGATAACTGGCAGTCGCCAGGGGAGAGCGCGCATTGCCATGGCAACGCGCTCTCGCCTCGCAGCGGGTATTCCCGGCTGGGGAGGTCGCGCTCGGCGCGCTCCGGCTCMGTGGGAGCCGCGATGTCGCACAGCCCTTGCTGCCCCACAGGACAGGCCCCGCCGGTGGAGCTGCCCCACCTTGGCCCCGCTCCCTGGCCCCGGCTGCACCCCGCAGCCTTCGGGAGTCCTGCAGAGCTCCGCTCTGCAAGCAGGGGATTCATGCTGCCTCTTCATGCCTGTCCAGCCCCTGATGGGTTGTTGCACTGGCCCACAGGAACCCCATGCTCTGTCTTTAACCTGAGCTTGGAGTAGCACAGGCCCCTGACCTGCCCAGGGCCACCAGAGGCAGAGACAGGGCTCTTCTCGCGTGACCTCCCTCTGCTACAGGGATGCAGCGGACAAAGAGGATGTTCTTTGGGAAGGAGAAGACCATGCCGCCCTGCAGGAAGGACTGGGAAAAGCAACCTGCCCAAGAGTGGGCACACACCATGCCCCTCGCTGTGCTGCCAGCACAGTGTGTGCCCCAAAGAGGAAGAGGAGGACGAGCAAGGCTGGCAAGATGTGAGGAGGAAGGACTCTCTCCCCACGCACTGTACAGCCACACAAACCACCCCATCTGCTGCAGCCGTAGCCCGCGCTGAAGGGCAGAACTGGTGCACTGCAGGCTCCTTATGTGTGTTACTGCTGCTCCACATTCCCAGCAAGCAGGACTAGAGGAACTGCTGGATCCAAACCTCTCCCCAGCCCCCCTCTCAGGGGAACTTCTCTCTTTACCATACTGGACTTGGCAATCATACTTGAAATGGGACTTGACTCAGAGCGGTATATTTATAGATATATATTTTACTTGCATCAAATAATGGTGAAACATTGCACAAAATAATTGGGGTGTGTGTGCGTGCGCGCGTGTGTGAGAGTGTGAGAGAGAACCAGAGAGAGGATGAGAATGTTTTTAAGAGGAGAGAAGGGGTAAAATAAACAGGAGGGAGGCATGGGACGATGTGAGGATACTCGTTCCCTGCACCTCCTCTGGGATCTCCTCCTGCCCTGGCCATTTTTCTTTGTTGCTAATAATATTTTTCCACACCTTGTGCTGTGGGGCTGAGGATGACCTTGTCCATCCTTCCCTCTTTGCTTTCAGTTATAAGGCAGAAAGTCTGGATTCATCTCAACCCTAGGCAAGGGATTGCTGTTTAGAAACCCACCCAGGAAAGGAGAAGACAGGAAAACGGAGAAAAGAGAGTTGCTGAGAAACTCGAAGGCTGGATGCTATGGGGGCCCCCCCGGGAAGCAAATGCTGTGCCTTGAAGGCCAAGGCGCTGCCCTCTTTCAMACAGGGCAAGGGGTTCACTGGGAAGCGCCCTCGCTCCCCGCTGCTTGCAAACAGGCTCTTCGCTCTCTCCCACACCTGGGAAGCCGCTCGAGGGGCGCTCAGCTTCAGCACGGCCCGCAGGCACCCGGGCGAAGCTCTCCCGCGAGACACCGGCTGCGGCAGAGTGGGAAGGGGCCCCTCTGGCGCGTGGGGCTCCCTGTGGGCCCGACCGGGCCGGAGGCTCCCCTGCAGAGCCTGGTCACTGGGGCAGGAGCCACCTTGGCCGCGAGGCAGCCCCCAGGGAGCACCCTGGGGCGGGCAGGTGGGCCCCAGGAACAGCCCCTGCTGCCCTCTCCCCTCCCCACGCCCTACCTGTGGTGCGGRCAGGCACCCTCCTCGCAGGGAACAGGTGGCACTTGCAATTTCTTTTTCTTTTTGTTACTGTTTTTTGAGGGAGAGCAACAAGATTTTCTAAAACGATTGAATGGAGGTTTCTTTGGCATGACAGAGAAGATTTTTAAAGGTATATTATATTTCTGGCTTGTTGTTACAGAAGAATAATAAAGAATGTATTTTCCTATGCTCCTCATTGCTTAAATGAGCTCTCTGATAGGAACCACCYGTCTCCCCCATCCCCTGCAACAGCAACTGCTGCAAACATCACGGCAAGATAAAGAAAAATAACTGGGCTTCCACATATGTGCACACTTGTCTGCACACAGTGCTTCGCCTTGGAGGGAACATGCGTATCTTCACCCACCCGCCCATCAGTGTGCACCCCAGGCCTGTGTACGGCTGTAGCCAGGACCAGGCTGTCGGACAGGAGATGCAGTGAGTCCAGGTGAGACCCTAGAGCTAGAAGCACATGCACACACACGTGCATGCAGGCACACAYGCACACAAACATGCACACACKTGCACATGCACACACGTGCACACCTGCACATGCATGCACACAGGCGCACACACACATGCATGTACATATACATGCACAAATGCACATGCATGCACACGAATGCACATGCTTACACACATGCACACACATGCATACACATACACACACACACACACACACATACACACAGGTCTCCCGGAACACCGCCAGGCAAGGGCGATTGTGTAACAAGGATAAGAGACTGTGGCAATCAGCTCATTACATAAAAGTGGAAAGGGCCAAATTAATCCCCAGTGTATGAATGCGGAAGCCAGTGGAGTTATATTCAGGTCAAAATTGACTCCAAAAGCTTTTTTTTTATTTAATTAGAGCATAATGTTCAATACCACCTACTGTAACAAACAGTGAGCTATGGCTCCTGACAACTCCAGGTTCCTGGGCATCCTGAGCAAGGTTATTTTAAAATGAATGAAAAACGCAGGGCAATCCTATTGCACCCCCAGCTACACAGGCTGCCACCCCCAGAGATAAACACCAGCTGTTCACTAGCAAGGTCTCTCACACACACCTAGCAAGCTGAAATTCCCCTCTTCTCCAGAAAGGTGCTATCCGTATGCAATTCCAGGCACACTCTTCCTGTGACAAACCTGCCTCTGAGGTACGTGGAGTGTTCGAAGATGCTGAAATCACCTCAGGCAAACTGGGTGACACTGAACTCACACTGTTACATCCTGCCTGGTCTTCAGAGAAAAACTGGGAGCAGAACCCACTAATCCTAATSCCATAACAAGAGCTGAGGAGTCTGCCCTGTTGCCAATGTGCACCACCACGACAGAATCACCATCGTTGATATTTAACAGCATGGCATCTATAGCACAGTCTAATATAATTTTACCACCCAGGCACAGGAATGCACACAAATGCTGCTTAACAGTTCATATAGCTGCAGACATATAGAGCTGAAAAAATGCAAAACCAACAGACACATCTGATGACTCTAAACTTTCTGTTCATAAATTATCTGGGAGCAGCCTGTGATTTTCTACCACTTGAATCTCTCTCATTTGCCATATACTTCCCTGTATGCACACACGTAATTATGTCTAATAATGCATAATAGATGTAAAATATAAAAAAGCAGAATACCTCCTCCATGTATTGCCCGTCAGCAGCCTGCTGTGCTTGGTTGGAAACCCAGCTTTGACTGGAAACATGGGTCAGAGGGCCAGTTTCTATGCTCTGATTAGACAAAGGTCCTAGCATAGGATTTTTCGGGCATTAAAATCATCCCTTCCAAGAGAACTGTGCAGCACAGACAGGAGAACAAGCCCTCCCCAATGAGCACAGGCACAGATGCAGTGAAAGCAAACCAGAGATTTCCCTTGTCATTTTGGGAGCTCCCCACACYGCCAGCGGCTCTGCAAGATGAAGATGGGGCAGCGGCATCACAGCTCTTCTCCCTCCGAAGGGCCGGGGCAAAGGCACCGAGAGGGGCTAGACCCCTGCTTCCCGCAGCAGAAGGCCAGGCAGAGGCCCCGTGCAAGGCACAGGGACTACGGGAAGCAGAGCAGGATGCTAAGAATARCGGCCAGCCTCGTGCGAAGCTCCTGGGCCGGCACAGCACAGCGCTGTTCGCCCGAGGCTCCAAGACAAGACTTAGCCCTTCACATTTGCTTTTGCTGTGTTCTAACTTCAGAATAAACTTGTTTGGTAGAACATCTGCGGAAAGTCAATGCATAAAGGGCACGCAAAGAGTGACAAATTCAGGTATTTTTATTGGAGAAAATATGCACAGACAATGCACKGAGACGCTCTCCCAGCTCCGCATAAAGCTCAAGGGAAATATCCAGAGTACCAACAATGCTTTGCATTTCTATAGTGCTTGCCTTTGGCAGCTCTCTGGGAGCTTGCAAACATTAATGAATTCACAGAGGCAGAGATTCAGA